ATGGCTGGGCTAGAAAAGAAACAGTAAGAAAGGAACATAATAACCATTTTAAATTTCAGAAGCTGTAATAAGGAAAAGGGATTAGGCTTACACTGGTCCAGCTGGCAAAATTAAATCAATGAGGAGCTACAATGAAGTCTATTTTACTATCTCAGTTCAGTCTAAGAAAGTTTCTTATAATTAAATCTGTACAAAACTGGAAGAGTTTGTCCTATTCAGTGTGGGTCAATGAAGTCAGGAGCTTCCCATCATTGTAAGGATGCAATGTCATAGATGGGGATGTTATATAAAGAATTCCCAAACTAGGTGGCATCTCGCACTACAATTATCTGAAGCTTCTTCCAAATCAAACTTTTAGTGATCAGAGCTGGAGAGGGCAATAATAATTCTCTTCCCCTCCCACACCTTACTCTGACCAAAGAAACAGCCCCATTGCATCCAAGCTCCATTCAAGATACAGAAACCCAGTGGCTGATCTGTCTTGGTGATTCTCAGTGAGAACACTGGGAACTGGTCAAGGTTTGGCTACTCTTGCAATTTCACATGCCAGCTTTTTCCTTCTCTAACCTGTTCTTCTATTCACCTCCCTTTCCACCTACATTCAAGCTGTCCATTTTAATTACTGGGAAGCTGCATAAATTTCATATCAAATCATGTACTTGCTGAATTGACTCATTTTATCCACCAACTTTCAAACATGTTGGTATTTAATTAAAGCTTTGGATTGATGATTTCAACAGATAAAAATGGGGAGGACTCCATGCCATATTAACTTTGTAAAAGCATCACCGTCTGGTTAAAAGAGGTCACAGACAAGACTAGTTCAAATTGGCCCACATAGGAGGTGGTCAACAAGCAAAGAATTCTCCAAAATGTTTAGCACAGTGCTAACCATGCAAGTTGGGGTTCCGGAAAATTGTTAGGAAGTAAAGAAATGGCCTCACTGTGTCTTCAATTTCTAGAACATCCCTTGCTCCCAAGGAATTTTTACAAAGAACTCTTTTAAAACTCTTCTGTTAAAAATGTATTTTAAGACACCACAAACGTGAAGTAAACACTTTCCCCTTATTTGCACAGATTGAGAAAGCACATCTATTCAACTTGAATGTGATCGAGATGAAATTTATGAAAGGAAAACTCGTTATTGTCCATACTGCTGCTCTCCTCCTGAGTGTTCCTCAGAAGCATAGAAAACGAGTTCTGAAAGCGAACTTTTCCTGTGTTCCAGGGAAGAGGGGAACGTGGGGCCTCTTGACCTATAAAACTCAATATTTTGGAACATCCATAATTCTCTCAAGCCTGTGCCAGTCAAATAGAGACTCCCTTCGGCAAAATAACTGCCAGCCAAAGCTGGAGAGTAAAGCTTTCATGCTTAGGAGTTGACAAGGACAGGATTTAAAAGCTCCCTGGAAAAAAAAGTCTCAACTTCAGCTTGCATTACAAACTGTTGGAAAAGACAGATGGAGGGGATGACAGGAAAAGCAATTATTTCTTCTGGGCTTCCTCTCTGTCTGGATTCTAAGGAGACGAATACAAAATTCCATCACAGATTGAAATGCTATCTAAACATTCTTGAAAATGTGCTCTTGCTCTCTGAAATATGACCTGCTCTGCTGTAGTAACTTGTAACCCATTACCATATGAAGGTGGGGAGTACCGACATTCCTGCAGCCCACCTACTTCTGGGCCTGACTCCCCAAATTGAGTTTGTGACCCCCAGCTTAAAATGTAAATAACTAAAAGATGTATATTCACATACCATGACCCACCAAAAGTCATGATGAATCATCTGCTTTATTTTCACATTCCTGGAGTTTTAAATACCTGTGACTCTCTTGAGTATTTAAAAGTTTCTAGTGAGCTATTCCAAGTGAAGATTGAATCACACTAAACAGTAGTGCTATTCCAAATAGTAGTATACTGGGACTATTCATACATGAATCTGGGCAGGGGTATAGCTCAGCAGTAGAACATAAGGCCTTGGGTTCAAACCCCAACACGGCAAAGAAATAAAAATCTCATGCAAGAACCAAGCTTTCAACCACTATAAAGGAATACTCAATAGGGCTAGGGATGTGGCTCAAGCGGTAGCGTGTTTGCCTGGCATGCGCGCGGCGCTGGGTTCGATCCTCAGCACCACATACAAATAAAATGTTGTGTCCACCGAAAACTAAAAATAAATATTAAAAATTCTCTCTCTCTCTTTAAAAAAAATAAAGGAATACTCAAAAACTGATTAAAATGATGTTTTTATGGTCAAGAACTTTTGTTTATTTGTAATCAACAATCATACACACACCAAATATTCATTACAGCTAAATAAAATGTTGCACGTGGACTATGGGGACTAAAATATGAAGATGAGAAAGATGTAGTTCTTACCTTCATGAAGCTTAAAAACTAATCAAGGGGACAAAACGTATTTACCAGTAAGTTAAGGGAGACCACGCAACCCAAGACAAAGCATAAGCAGAAGACTGTGGGAATTCTGGGACAGACAGAACACACATCTGAATGAGGAATACTGGGATCAATCTTCTCCTTTGTAGAATGAGAGGAGTAAGCCAGATGAATTCAGAGTCCCTTTGAGCTCTAAAATTCTGATTCCTTTGATGTTACCCAGATGAGGTAAGCATATCACAAAGGAAAGATTATTTAAGCCAGCCCTTAGATGGGTAAGATTTTGAAATGTAGCTATTGGAAGAAAGAAAGAGAAGAAAAGACATTTCAGGCCCAAAGAAATACGTAAGCATAGGCCCAGAAAGCGCAGAGCATGCTTGCAGGGCACCAAGTCTTCAGTATGTATGGAATATAAGGACAGACAAAATCAGAAATGGAGACTGAAGCCTTGAATATAAAGCACAGAAACTTGGATTTACTTCATTTAGTAAGCCAGAGGCACTGAGGTTTCTGAAGAGGCAAATGACATGACTAGACACGTTAGAGAAGTTAATCAGGGGGCTGGGGATGTGGCTCGAGCGGTGGCGGGTTCGCCTGGCATGCGTGCGGCCCAGGTTCGATCCTCAGCACCACATACAAACAAAGATGTTGTGTCTGCCAAAAACTGAAAAATAAATATTAATAAATTTTCTCTCTCTATCGCTCTCTCTCACTCTCTCTTTAAAAAAGAAAAAGAAAAGTTAATCAGTGTAGAGTGTTTGTAGGTTACCCTGTTCCTCTTCATTATCTCTGAGGGCCCAGTTTGCATGGGCCTATTCTGCCAGAGAAGCAGTACTTCTTACCTCAGAAAGCAGAAACAAAGCAATAAGGGCTAAGACCATACAAAAGTCCGGAAGCCCGGCACAGTGGTGCATACCTGTAATCCCAGCAGCTTGGGAGGCTGAGGCAGGAGGATCGCAAGTTCAAAGCCAGCCTCAGCAAAAAGCAAGGCACTAAGCAACTCAGTGGGACCCTGTCTCTAAATAAAATACAAAAAAGAGCTGGGGATGTGGCTCAGTAATCTAGTGCCCCTGAGTTCAATCCCTGATACCCCTCTGCCAAAAAAAAAAAAAGTCCAGGAAATAGGATTGGTTTTAAGAACCTAGCATGTCTTCAAGCAAATACTGATTATGATAACAGGAAGACAGATGACTTACAAATAGGCCAACAAAAGAAGATTGTTAAGAGCGGGGGAGAAGCCATAAAGTGTGGGAAAACAGAAAGATGAATACAACTGAAATTGGAGAAGAAAGGACTCATAACACCTGTGGAGCCAGTAGCAGGGGAAACAGAAATATCAAAGATCAGGAAATTTCTAAGTAAGATTACACCCTCCCCTTACCCACACTAAATGTGGGCAAGCATAACGAACATTTTCAGGAATTAATTGGACTAAAAAATGTCTAATAGAAGAGATAAAAGGACCAAGGCTATGCATAATAGCGCTCTCCTGACTGAACTAAACAAGCACTGAAGAGGCAGGACCAGGCGCTGTGGAGAGGAAGGCTAGAAAGGCATGCTCAGCATTTCTGTTATGACAGTAATTTCTGAAATACGATACCTATACAGAAGAACAGAATCCAAATAAAAAGGAACATGGCTAATAGATAACATCTGGCCTCTCAATCACTGAAGAATACCTCCCCCACACCCTTCTTTTCCCTTTCTCCCCTCTCAATACCTCTCTTTATTAAGATCCCAAAAGAACTGTAAAACTCTGAAATGAATCCATAGTTACCTGCTTCTGACAAAACTAGGCATGAGGAACTGTAGCTGTGTCAGGTTACCATCTTTTGAAGCGACAAACCCCCAACAACTTACCTGATAGACAAAAGCAGTCATCTTATTTAGCCATAGTACACAAAATAAAAGAGACATCGGGTACTAAGTCAAAGACAAGGAAACCAATTTGCTCATTAAGCCTGCATGTCCCTAGCCTTGAATGAGCTATGCTACTACACATGATCCTGATCCAAGGGACACTGAGTGACAGCTCAAAGCTGATCTGGGCATCCTACCCCTGCTATGCGGCAGGGAACAGGCGTATAAGTCATGCACATTTCCTGATGTATATGGAACAGAACAATAAAAAAGTGCTCTGCAAACAGATCAACATCTTGTTCACTTGATTGTTGGGTCTTCTAGAAATTAAGGGAGTATAATTTTCTTTTTTTTCTTTATGGATGAAGTTGAACATATTTTTACATTTGTTTATCAGCTACTTGTGATTTTTCTGTGACTTTGCTGTATATAATTTTTGTCCTTTTTCTTTTTTTATTTTAAACATCAGAAATTTATTGGTTGCTCAAAACATTATACTGATCTTGACATATCATATATCCTACATTTGTTTCAAATGGGGTATGAATTCTTATTATTCCCACGTGTACAGATTGCAGGATCACGTTGATTATACAGCCACGTTTATACATACTGCCAAACTAGTGTCTGTTGTATTCTGCTGCCCTTCCTATCCCCTTCCTATCCCCCCCTTCCCTCCCCTCCCCTCCCTCTACCCCATCTAAGGGAGTATAATTAATATGGAGGAATAAATTACTTACTTGCCTTCCATCCTGCCCAACATTTGTCTGACCTCTTACAACTGTTCGAATATTGTCATCCAGTCTCCTAGCAAAAAAAGTTAAAGGATATAAATTATTCAAAAATCTCTACTTTAGGTGAACTATAAGAAAAAATTTGGTAATTTATCCATCAGCTTCTACAAATTGCACCTACTTATCCAGAACATCAAACAAGAGTGAATGAAATAAAAACGAGGACTTGAACCTAAGGGGCAGCAACAACAGTGCAAAGCCAACCCCAGCGTAGACTGATGAGTTTTTTGTTTAAAAACATGGCAATTTTTAGACCAGGCACAGTGGTGCATATCTATAATGCCAGTGACTCAGGAGGCTGAGGCAGGGGAATCACAAGTTCAAGGCCAGCCCTCAGTAACTTAGAAAGACCCTGAGGACTTAGCCAGGGCCTGTCTCAAAATAAAAACATTAAAAAAAAAAAATGGCTTGGGATGTGGCTCAGTGGTTAAGTACCCCTGGGTTCAATCGCTGGTACAAAAAAAAAAAAAGTCTACTTTTACTTTTCAGAGCTGCTTGAAAGAACCAATAAAACCTTTTTATTTTTCATGGAATAAATTAGGAATGATAAAGTTGCAGTAGCTCTATAGGAAGAAGCCAGAAAAATACAAATTACCACACACAAAATCCTTTCTTTGGTGACCTTAAAAGAGTCAAGGAGCCAAGGTGATATGTGAAATCTGTGCTTACCCTATGTACCCCATCATGCAATGTGTATGAGAGAGATTGATGGCTTCCTGCTCCTCTTTCCTCTGCAGTTCAACAGGCTGAGCAGAAGGATCTCAAGTTCAAAGCCAGCCTCAGCAACTTAGTGAGGCACTAAGCAACTCAGTGAGACCCTGTCTCTAAATAAAATACAATAAAGGGCTCGGGATGTGGCTTAGTAGTTGAGTACAATCCTGGGCACAAAAAAAAAAAAAAAAGAAGAAGAAGAAGAAGAAAGAAAATACCTAGTCCATAAGTGATCTTTGAATCACCAGGGAATTTTCATTTTCCATGCAAACCCTAACTTAGTGGTCTCTACTAGAATGTTACTGCTGAAGCCCAACAAAACAATAGGAAGCTCTTTGTGCTTCCTAAAATATGGATGCAACAACACACACATGGGGCAGAGACTTGCACACAAATACCAAAGGTCGTAGAGAAAAATTTCATATCCTGGGTTCAAGATGAACCCTTTCCCTCAATAGTTGAAAACAGACACAAAAACCAAACTATATTTAAGGCAATGAAATGAATCTATTTATACAATGAGCAGACATTTATCAAGTACCTGCCATGTGTAAACCCAGACACGGATAAGCCAGAACAAGATTATTGAGCAGGAAGGACACCTAATGACCACCCTGAGCAATCACATCTTGGGTTAATCACAATGTTTAATCCTGTGCCACCACCCAGGTCAAGCAGATCTGACATTATTAGCTAGTAGGCAACCAACCATGTGTATCACATGTAAGCCTAGGTTCATATCTGACCCTTGGGAATACAGAAAAAGGAAAACCCACTAGAGAAATAAAACCACTAAAAACAGTCAGGAGCTGTGATGCATATTTGTAATTCCAGCAACTCGGGGGCTGAGGCAGGAGGATCACAAGTTCAATGCCAGCCTGGGAACTTAGCAAGACCCTGTCTCAAGATTTAAAAAAAAAAAAAAAAATTTATAAAGGGCCAGGGTATAGCTCAGTGGTGAACCAGAGTGCCCCCGGGTTCAAACCCCAGTACTACAAATAAATAAATAAATAAATAAATAATAAAACATTTAAATAAGAAGTTTTATAATTAACTTTTATTATTAACTACTATGCTTTTTTTTTAAAAAGCAAACTCTATTATAGCTTCCTTAATTTTTTATGAATAATTCAAGACTGGCTAAGAATGAATTATTGTTTTTTTTTTAAATTTGTGTGTGTGTGTTTGTGTGTGTGTGTGTGTGTGTGTGTAGTGCTGGGGATTGAACCCAGGGCCTTGTACAGATGAGGCAAGCACTCTATCAACTGAGCAATATCCCCAGTCCAAGAATGGGGTTTTTGGAGCTGGGGATGTGGCTCAAGCGGTAGCACGCTCGCCTGGCATGTGTGTGGCCCAGGTTCGATCCTCAGCACCACATACAAACAAAGATGTTGTGTCCGCCGAAAACTAAAAAACAAATATTAAAATTCTCTCTCTCTCTCTTTAAAAAAAAAAAGAAAGAATGGGGTTTTCATGGACATTCAGATAAAACAAAAATCATTATTTTTTTTAATTTGAAATTTCAGTCGTCTCAAAGAAAAGTATACTTTTGGAATGTAATTAACTAAATTAATAACATACTTTTCATTAATTGACAATTGTATGATGTTACTTACCTTATTTTCAGTCTAATTTTGTTCACAACTTCATCTATATTTGCCAGAGACTAAAATAAAGAAGAAAAGAGTGTCCAGCTGTTATTTCACTTCCTGGAATTCCTATTTCACAGGGAAATGATGAGCTATAACATCTACTTATAAAATCTCAAAAAGTTAATCTCACAGTATGATAGCATTTTTACTTTTTTAAAAAAATAAGGGGCTGGGGTGTAGCTCAGTGTACATTTGCCTAGCATATGCAAGGTCCTGGGTTCAATCCCCAGTACTGAAAAAGAAAAGAAAAGAAAAAAGAAAAGCAGAACTTGCCAACCACTGCCAAATCTAGCCCAGAAAGTATTTTTTGTAAATTAAGTTTCACTGGAACATAGCCATGTCCATTCACTTACATACTGTAGCTGCTTGTGAGCTGCAATGGAGGAGTTGGAAAGTTCTGACAGATACTGCCTTGCTCACAAAGTCTAAAATATTTACTATCTGAACCTTTAATAGAAAGTTGGATAATCCCTAGCATATAAGATTGTAACAAATTCATATAATAAAATACAGCAAAGAAAATAAATTATAACTATTACAACACACAATAACATGGACAAATTCTTACTAACATAATATTGAAGGGGGAGGAGCCAAAACCAAGAGTATATACTGAATGATTACATTTATTCAATTAAAAAAAAAAAACATGTTAGAAGCCAAAATAGTGATTATCTTAGAGGGGGCTAGTGACTGTGAGGAAGCAAGAAAGGCCTTTGAAGATATTTTATTAAATGTTTTCTTTAAAAAAAAATTTTCTTAAATTATACATGGACATAATACCTTTATTTTATTTATTTATTTTTATCTGGTGCTGGGGATCGAACCCAGTGCCTCACAGGTGCTAGGTAAGCATTCTACCACTGAGCCACACCTCCAGCCCCTAAATGCTTTATTTCTTGATCTGGGTGGCGATATTCCTTCTGTGAAATTCATCACTATTCACTTAAGATTTGTACCCTCTTCTATATCATGTTACACTTCAACAAATAAATAAATTTATTTTTTAAGCTTAATGAAGAGCCATTAGAAAAAAATCTGGAAGGGCACACACTAGCTGTTGTAACAAAGTAGAGCAGCTGTAATCTCTGAAATCTGCATTAATAGTTTTAATATATAAAAAGAAGAGATATTTAATTTTTCTTCTTTTTGCTTATGAGTATTTTTGATTACTCTATATTGACAGGTACTGCTACTGTGATTATAATAAAGCTTTTAAGATAATGACAAAAGGACCATTTCTGACTTTAGAGATGAAAACAATGTGAGGAAATAATGCCCTCTAGTGGAAAAAAGAAGGTACAATTTTATGGTACCATTTTAACTCCAAAGTTTTAAAAACTTTATAAACCCTCAACAGATATTTTACCTCAGAAGGAACTGGAGGTAGTGCAGGAATTGTGCTTATAAATTGCTCCTGGCTACCTCTTCTGGCTGTAGGAGGCCTAGAGGCTTCCAGGAGCAGTTCTGGTAAGAGAAACAGGTCCCAAATGTTTGAGATGTAAGACTGGACTATTCACATCTTGTCACTGCTCTGACTGAGCCAACCATTACTCAGAATTTTCAGAACTCCAAAAACAGACTGAGGTAAGGATGAACCTCAGAAAAAAGAAGTCTCTTTAACTGAGAAATCCATTTCAACTGGTTTCAATCCTATTCTGTTAAATCTGTCGATTCAAAACTGGATTGGGTATGATTTCCATCACCATCACAGATATAAATGACAGCCAAGTTGTCACAGGACCTGGGTTTTAGCCTACCTCCACCACTGCTACTAACTTGCTTCAGGGAAAAAGAAATCTCTCTTGAGTTTCTATTTCATCATATGCAAAATGGGCCTAACAGTTCCTGGCCTATCTCTGCTAAAGCCCATTCTTTCAAAAGAAATATTTTTGTGGTACTTTAAAAACTATTTTTAAAATTTTTTTTTGTAGTTGTAGATGAACAGCATACCTTAATTTTATTTATTTTTTAATGTGGTGTTGAAGATCGAACCCAGTGCCTCACACATGTTAGACAAGCACTCTGCCACTGAGCTACAGTCCTAGCCCCCCCCAAAATATTTTAAAAATATTAATATTTGGGAAATCTGGGTGAAGGGAAGCCAAGAATTCTCTGTACTACTCTTATACCTTTTCTGAAAATGGAAAATCCTACCAAAATTGTATAATTTGTATACATATATGATTTAAATTATGAACATCAAAATATTTGCAAGCTAGGGCTGGGATTGTGGCTCAGTGATAAGAGCGTTCGCCCGGCATATGTGAGGCCCTGAGTTCAATCCTCAGCAACACATAATGATAAATAAAGATACTGTGTCCATCTACAACTAAAAATATATTTTTTTAATTTTGCAAGATATTTAAAATTGTTAAAACATGTACATGACCAAAAATTCAGATAGTAAAAGAGGGTTCATAATGAGATGCAAGGCTTCCAAACTTACCCTGTGCTGTACGACCCCCCCAGTTCTTTCTCAGAGGCAGTGGCTCTGAGCCAGTTTCTTTTCTACTTTCTCAGACCTAGTCTGTGTTAAAAGCACATCCATGTGCTCGCTTTGGCAGCACATATACTAAAATTGGAACGATACAGATAAGATTAGCATGGCCCCTGTGCAAGGATGACACGCAAATTCATGAAGCGTTCCATATTTAAAAAAAAAAATAAAAAGCACATCCATAAAGCGTACTGCACCATGCTTTTTCATTTAACAATATAACTTGGAGGTCATTCCATATCAGTAAATACTATTTAGTGGTACTGGAACCATTTCCTAAATTTAATAATCCTTGGACCTTAAGCTCTTAGTCAAGCCATAGCAACTTTTCTAAGAATAATAATGAAAAATATTTATGTAGTCAGTTGTTCAACTGCATTACAATAGTGAAGACCTGGAGACAACCTAAAGACCTATTCTTAGAAGAAAAGTTAAATAAATTAGGCCAAATTATCTGATGAACTTTTATGCCACCCCTGGAGACACTAGTCAAGGAGATTATAAAACAAAGTAGACTGCTTTGGGATACTGTACTAAGAAGGGGAAAACATGTCTAAAATACCAGGCACTCCATGAATATAATCATTAAAAGAATAGAAGCTGGGCAGAGTAACAGACATCTGTAATCCTAGTGACAAGGGAGGCTGAGGGAGGAGAATTCCAAATTCAAGGCCAGCCTCAGCAACTTAGTGACACCCTGTCTCAAAATAAAAAAAAGGGGGCTAGGGGATGTAGCTCATTGGTAAAGTACCCTTAGGTTCAAAACCCTCCCCCTCAAAAAAACTAGAAAGAAACATCCTGAAACTACAGAATACTTGATTGATTGTTATATGGACCCATGGATAACCACTTTCATATTTAATTTTTCCAGATTGATTGATTGATTGATTCATTCATTCATTCATTTTCTTTGTACTGGGGTAGAACTCAGGGGCACTTCACCACTAAGTACATTCCTAGTCTTTTTATTTTTACAATAGGGTCTCATTAAGTTGTTGAGGGTCTGACTAAATTTCTGAAGCTGGCCTTGAACTTGCAATCCTTCTGCCTTAGCTGCCAGAGGTGCTGGGATCACAGGCATGTATGCTGTACCCAGCCAAATTTTCCAGATTTTTCTACTAGAGAAGTAAAAGGGAAAAGGTGCTACCACTTGATTTGGGTTTATTATGTAACACTGCTCTAGACACTACAGAAAGTATTTCCCTTAATCCTCTCAATCTAATGAGATCCTGTCTTTAAAAAAAAAAAAAATGCTAGGATATAGCTCAGTGGTAAAGCATCCCTGGGTTCAATTTCCCGGTAGAAAGGAAGAAAAAAAGGAAGGAAAGAAGGAAGATAGATTGATTTGGAAAATATGCTCTGAATGGAGAGATGCTCTAAGATGGAGGAGATGACATGAGATTCAGTAAGTTTGTCTGATTCTAAGGTCTCTGCTCTTTCTTACTCTATAATGCTACCTCTTGTGCAATGGGTCTTGACCTACTTTTTCTGCACCCCCAAATACCTGACAGATATGAGACACTTTCTCCCATCATTTCAGTACCTCCTTATGGTAGGAATCCTTCTGGAGTCAGGGGAAAACCAGTAGGAATCCAGACTGGCTTCCCTTGATGAAGGTGATATAACCTCTCTGAGAATCACTCATCTGGTTTAGTCTTAATGAGGTTGTACAGTTTTAATTGTATAAGATTTTTAATGTTTGAATTATTGAAAAGTATTCACTGATTTTAATGACAATCCATGCTGATTACAGAAAATGCAGAACAAGAAATATAACCCTGTGTTCCCAAGAGTATAGCTACTATTAGTATTTTTGTATATTGCGTTTTATTCTTCTATGAAAATATATGGATTTTTAAAAAATAAACTGAGCCAGATGTGGTGGCACATGCCTGTAATCCCAGCTACTCAGAAGACTAAGGCAGGAGAATCACAAGTTCAAGACCAGCCTAGGCAATTTAGTGAGACCCTGTTTCAAAATAAAAATTAAAATGGCTGGGAATATAGCTCAGTTATAGAATGCCACTGGGTTCAATTTCCAACATCACAAAATGACAACAAAAACAAACAAACAAAAAATTGGGAACAAGTAATTAGATACCTTGGGTTTTTTCACTTAAAAATATTAGATTCAGAACACTCTGGGAGTTATTAAAAGTTATTTTAAATAGCTCCCTGTAATTTGTTTTTTCAAAGTTCTAATTATATTAGTTTTTCTTTTTCTTTTCTTTTTGAGACTCAGTTCTTTTCTGGGTCTCACTACATTGCCCAGGTGGATCTTGAACTCCTGGACTCAAGCAATCCTCCTACTCAACCTCCCATGAATGCTGAAAATATGCTAGTTTTTCATAAATTTAATTTAATTTTCTCTTAATTAAACCAACAACATGATGGATGATTATCTTCAGTTTACTGCTAGGAGACTAAAAAGGTTTTCCAGATCATTGTTACCAAACCCAGATACTCTTCAGAATCACGTAGGGAACTCTGTTAAGTACAGGCTGAACTTCCCCTGGACCCAAACCTAGTGAAATAGAGACATCCAAGGACCAATCCACACTCCAGCCTCCAGGCAAGCACTTGCCACTCAACAGATCCCCTTCCTTGGAGTGACACTAAATCTACTGTTCACATACTAACATTTTTTAAAACAATCTAAACTCATAGTTAACAAGTACACACTGTAGGTCCATGAAGTATATAAGTGGCTTTTGCCCAAATTTAGCAGTAGTTTTAAAAAAGTGACATGGTAGGCTGCTACTTTCTGTTACTTTTTCATTAAGGTTCATGGGCATCTGGGTTGGTAGATGAACTGCTAAATATAATTCTGGGACCAGGGAAATAAAGGCAACCCTGTGTCATATGCTTTGAGTTACCCTAAGAAATGTCACTATACATTATCATGCACATGGAGGCCTAATTGGACAAGACATATAACTGAATCTGTGGAGCAACAAATGTCAAATGTCTTGTGCTACTTTTAGCAGTTAAAAAAAAATACATACACAATCATTTCAGGAAGAGGTAAGAACCCATGTAATTTTCAAATCTAACACTTTGTTCAGATAGCTTTCTTGATAAGGTAGGAGAAGTGAACATTTATGTGGCTAAAATTGCTGTCCTGATGCCAATTGTTACCAAATGGTTATCTCTAGCTAATTCCTAAAATTCCTGTTTCACAGAAAATGTTGAGCTATAAAGATTATTTGTGAAATCTCCAAAAAGACAATCACACAATATATTATTTTTAAAACTTTATTTTAAAAAATTATGTCCATTAGAAAGTTTGGTGCAGTTAGAAGAATAACTTCTAATAATCCAGAGCACAATAAGATAATTAACAATTAACTGCATATTTCAGAACAGTATTAAGAGGATTTTGAATGTTCCCAACACAAAGAAATGACAAACGTCTGAGGTAACAGAAACACAATCACCCTGATCTAATCACTACACATTGTATACATGTATTGAAATGTCACACTGCACCCCATAAATATGTACAATCACTAGGTATCAAATAAAATTAGAGCATTTTAAGAAAAATAGAACAGCAAACACATAAACAATTCAAAAAGAGAAAATTCAAAAGAATGTATGTCAAGATATTAACAACGATGGGGATTATGCATTCCATACTCAAACATACAACTACATATTTCCACCTTGATGACCCAAATGTGTTCAAAACTGAGCTCATGACATGTTCTCTTCTGACTCTACTTACAACTGAAACCTGTTTTCTTTCTCTCAATACTGGGTAAAGGTGTCAACACCTACTCAGTCTATTAGGCTATAAATCAAGCTCAAAATCCTTAGAGTTGCCTATAATGCTCAGTTAAAATGCCATTTCCTCAGGGAAAGCTTTTTTGGATTCTTCAGGCAGCTTTCACCATATTTAGTGGTCTTCCTTCGTGGCACTTTTAAACTGAGCGCTCTTTATCACTCCTTGCCCTGGTATTCTCTCTGAATAATGAGAACAATAACTGTGTGGAGAATATATCATTGTTAAGTGCTTACAACAGCACGTGGTACACAGTAAATACCCAATAAATGTTAACCATTATTATAGTTGTAGCAGAAGTTAGGACTCTTTTAAGAGCAAGTAACAATAATAATGATACAAACAAGTCACTGCAACTTCATAATTCACTCATAATGTGCAAATAGTATAATTAATTATTAGGAGAGACTATAAATTCCACGTTGGTAAGGACCACATCTGTCTTGCTCACTCTTGCTCTCTACATTTTTTCCTTCTTAGAAGGGTAGGCAGAGTAGATATTTTTAAAATGAATTTTAGATTCTATATGAGCCTCGACTTTCATCCCTTTAGGCAACAAACTATGTCACTTCTGTCTCCTGAGTAGTTCTCAAGTCCTGTTCTCTCCATCCCATCACCTTCACTCAGGCTTTCAGTGCCACTCTCAAGGGACCCACTGCATTAGCCTCCTAATTGGTCTTCCTGCCTCCAATGTTTAGAATGACCTTCTTTCCCTTGTATTCCCAGAAGATTTACTTGGCTGTTCTCTCTGCCAAAACAATGTTCTGAAAGATTGCCACAAGCCTGGCTCCTTCATATTTATCAGGTCTCTGCTTGAATGAAACTGCCTCAGGGAAGCTTCCCTTTAAGCTCTTTTTCCTTTATCCAAAGGACCCCTACCCAAGCCTTCATGCTCTATCACTGCGCCACCTGCTTTTCATCAGATCATTAATCACACTTGATAATTTCTTTCTTTCTTTTTTTTTTTTTTTTTTTTTTGAGATGAGGATCTCACTATGTTGCCTAGGCTGGTCCCAAACTCCTGGATTCAACAGCATTGAAATCTGCTCAATCTAAGGGATCCTGGCTTGGAAATACCTATATAAAAACAGGAGATTATAAATTAAAACATCACGTTGGACACCTTAATGCTGGTTGAAGCCATCCTCCTGCCTCAGTCTCCTAAGTAGCTGGGACTACAGGCATGCCACCATACCCAGCTGTAATTTCTTATTTATTTATTTATCCATTTATTTCTTGTCTTCTTCCACACAGTAGACTCCATAAGACCAGGAATTAACCTATCATGTTTACCATTTCTCCCCAGTTTCAAGAACAGTGCCTGGCACTTCTTAGTCACTTAATAAATGGTGGCTGACTTTGACTACTGAATGAATAAACAAATCCCTCAAGACGTGGCAGAGGGTTGCCTGAGGTTTTAATTTCCCTAGGAAGAATTATGCTTTCCCTCCATACCTCTTACAGCATTCAACATTGTCTCCCCCTACTTAATTATGCACACCTCAAGGGCAGGGACTGGGTTTTATTCATCTTTGTAGTCCCAGCACCTGGGACAGTGACCAACAACACATGACAGGTGACTACTGAATAGCTGCAGAATGAATAAGTGAAAACCTAAGAAAAACTCCAGCTGCTCTTCTACCAGCTCTGCTGCTTCTAATTCTTGTCTATTGTAAGAAAAACCCAGCCACCTAGGCAAATCAGCCAACAAAACGACATAAAACAGAAAGTGTAAAAATTTACATTTTGAAATAGGAGTGAAAGCTGCTTTATGACTCAGGGCTTATCCTGCCTGCCTCACTGCTACTTTTCCCTACCATGTTATAAAAATTCTTTCTACTTATTCAAATACAACAGGAAATTGAACTAGGGAAGGCGGGGGGTTGTCCTTACAACCAAAGGGTACAATTTCTAATAATATGCTTCTAAACAATGAATTCTACTCTAACACAATTGGTCACAGAAGAATTCAATTTGAATTTAACTCTCATTTGTTTATTAAGGGCCCTGAGATTACACGGTATAACAGACCAATCACAATCCTCCAGATGAGCCAGGAACCATTAAAATGAAGGAAACCTAAAACTCTATACTTACTTGTTCCGTTGGGAACAGGGTATTGATATATTCAACAGCATTGAAATCTGCTCGATCTAAAGGATCCTGGCTTGGAAACACCTATATAAAAACAGGAGGTTATATATTAAAACATCATATTGGACACCATAAATACATACAACATTTGTCAATTAAAAAGAAAATAAATTCCACAATAGAGGGGATTAAAAATAACTGTTATCTTTCTACCTTGTTTTATATATTCTTTCTTTCCTATTAATTGGTAAGTTCTCTAGAGATAAAAGGAAAAAAAAAACTTTTTCATTTTAAAATGCTTTACATGCAACAAATACTCAATAAATTATCTATTAAGGAAATAGGGCTGGGGGTTGTGGCTTAGTGGCAGAGCACTTGCCTTGCAATGTGTGAGGCACTGGGTTCGATTCTCAGCACCACATTAAAAAAAAAAGTTGTTATGTCCATCTCCAACTGAAATATTTTTTTAAAAAAAGGAAATAGACATGTAATACAATGTCTATTAAATAAATCTTTAAGGGCTGTAGCTCAGCGGTAGCACATTTGCCTGGCATGTGTGAGGCACTGGGTTCAATTCTCAGCACCGCATATAAACGGTCTATGCAAATGTGAAAAGTTCCACAGACATCAATGAAATGTCAACTCAGCAAGCATTAGTAAACCAGCTGATGACATGGTTATTATTAAGAAATCCTTAATAATAGACTTAGGTTCCATGTCTCAATCATGTCTCTACAGCAGAATTCACTATGCATTGAAGCAATCTCTGAGTGTGTGTGTTGCTGGGGAATGAACCCAGAGCCTCACCCATGCTAGGCAAGCACTCTACCACTAAGCTACTCTCCCTGCCCAATTTTTATGCTTCAGTGTTAAGGACTAGCAGCATTCAGATTCATAGAAGAAAGCAAGAAACCATCTGAGAAATACAGCTAACTCCTTTCAAAAGTCACAAATTGAATAACATGTAACAAGGGGGATTATAAAAGGAGTCAAATGATCTCCTGCTTACTGGATTTTACCAGTTCAAGACAATTTTAATGCTGGAAAGCAACTTCTTCAGAGAAGAAGCTTTCCAAAGAAATATAGTGTCAAAGTATCAAAATGTCTTCTAAGATAGGTCAAAGACAATTTTAGAAGAGTTTAGGGCTTCTACCATGTAAAAGAGAAGCAGAGGGCTGGGGTTGTGAATCAGTGGGAGAGTGCTTGCATCTAATGAGTGAAGCACTGGGTTCCATCCTCTGCACCACATAAAAGTAATAAAATAAAGGTATTGTGTCCATCTACAAATATATATATATATATATATTTTTTTTTTTTTTAATTAAAATAAAAGCAGAGGTGAGGCAGATGACAGGAAAAAAAAAAAAAAAAAAAAAAAAAGAGAGAGAGAGAGATTCTACAATGTTTAACATTGTAGGGCACAGTGGCCCGCATCAGTAATCCAAGCAACTCAGGAGGCTGAGGCAGAAGGATCACAAGTTGGAGGTCAACCCAGGCAACTTAAAAGACCCTATCTCAAAATAAAAAAGAAAAAGGGCTAGGGACATATCTCAGTGGTGAAGTGCCCCTCGATTCAATTGCCAGTACAAAAAAAATTTAAATGCTTAACATTTCCATTTCTCTAATATACATTTATGGCAGAGATATATCGTATGCACGATTTATACAACCTCAATTACATACCCTTACCAGAGGGAGTGTGGGGAACTAGGCCTGCCATGAGTGTATGCCCCATTATGAGAATGATATTTCCTCAAGTGGCCTCAGTCTCTGCATTCCTCTCACTGTTCTTGGTTGTTATCCTTGGTTTTGATGTGTTTTCATATAACAAAGCTCTTAAACCAAGTCAACTTTTTCATCCAGTGATAACAGCAAATAAGAGATTGGCTCCAATGCTGAAGAAGTAAACTAACAACACTAGACTTATTGAAGAGATGCTTATACATTTTACTTCAAGGACAACTTAAGGAATTGCAAGGATAACATGTGGATATGTAAATTTTCACTTTATGCATGACTTTGGAGCTTAATACCTGGATAAAGTGGGATTCCATCATCAACCCTTCCTAACTTCTCATGTATCACTACACTTTAAAAGTATGTTATTGTTGGGCTGGGGTTGTGGCTCAGTGGTACAGCGCTTGCCTAGCACATGTGAGACCCTGGGTTCCATCCTCAGCATCACATAAAAATAAATAAATAAAATAAAGATATATTTTTAAAAAGTATGCTATTGCATAATTGTTTGCAAAATTTTACTCAAAACCTCAGACCACTAAAGTAAGAAAAAAATCCTAAATTCATCTTAACATCAAGATGTCTGCTTACTAGATAAACATAATACTAAAATTCAAACATATTCTTTTAAAATAGCAAAAATATGATCTTCTGAAACTCCGGTCAAACAACAACTGATTGTATTCTGCTTCATTCATTAGAGCCCAACAAATCCAAGAGCAACTGAAATGTATGTCATCTACTAAGAAAAAGAGCTGGATGGTGGAGCACTGTGACCTTAACAGAAAAAAAGTTTTGTCCAATGGTCTGGTATCATCAGGATGTACCAAATGTGGTTGGCATGAGCAATCCATGCACTCCTAGATAAACACACATCCAAAAGTCTATAAATGGAACAATACAAAAACATTATTTAATACAATGGTGGATCCATGGTATGAATGGTCAATGTTAATTATTAGTAGAAGTAATGTTTTACTTAGAAAAACTTCCCAGTAGTTGTTAATATGAGGCATAACCCTTCTTAAATAATACTTCCATGACAATTCCTTCTTTAAGGGAGGTTTTCTCCCTTTATAGGAGAGAAACCCTGTACAAAGGCCTAAATCACTACTTCTAATATTATCACTCATAAAATTTTAATAACCTTGAAAAGAGAATTTAGTCAACTAAAGAGTTGCTGCAAAGAAGAGAGGCCTCCTGGGAGTATCCCCCAATGTAATCCAAACTGCAGGAATTTTCAACATTTTAGGGAAAGCAAAGGGTCATTTTTGGACCCATTTTTTGTCCCAATTCTGAGCCCCTCTAGAGGGGAGTGACAAATGAGAGGGTCTGTACTAACCTGGTAAATGAATGCAGCATCATAACCCCCAGAATATGAGGTTGCACTCACAGAGTCCTTTTTTCTAGGTGCATCCTTCAGGGGGTTCTTTTGCCCAAAGACAATCAAGGCCTACAGAGGACGCTTCCCTTCTCCTGATTCAGAAACCCGCGGCCATCTCTGATTCCCCTGCCCACGCCCCCCTTTCAATCCAGCCTCCTCGCTCCCCACCCCACCCGCTCAATTCCCACCGCCCAAAACTGCAGCACCCCCCACACTCCGCTCCCGAGGGGGCGGAATGCTCACCTGCTCGATTGCTAGCTGCACCTCAGGCGTCAGCTGCAGCACGGCTTCCAGTTCCTCCACGAACTCCAGTTCCTCTTCCTCCATCATTCCGCCTCTCAGCACCCTTCTGAACCCCGTCCCCAACCCCCCACCCTCAGACCTCTAGCGGACGCCTAGGTCCCAGAAGAGCAACCCTCCAGTTGCAGAGCTCTAACAACCCACTGCTCTGTCAGCCAGCCGGCACTTCCGGGAAGCCGGACACTTCCGGGATCCAAGGCACTCTGGGATAGCGGAGGACTGACCTCTGGAGGCGTGCCTGTCACCTCTCCGGAGTCAGCCCGGACAGCCCGTTAGCCACGCAGCCCGGGCTTGCCCTCGACGGGTCCTTAAGATGGGGGCACTCGTCACCTCGCCCAAGGCGCGTCCTCGCTCTAAGGGCCCCGGTATGGGGGACAGCCTAGCCTCCGAGGCGGACGCCTCCGTGAGTGGCAGCTGCGTTGTGACCTCCGGACAGCAACCCCAGCGGTCCGCGAAGCCCTTTCGCTCCCTGAGCCCCCTTGGTCAGTGGCAGTAGGGACACCTGCCATCGGGGATGAAATGACCCCAGCTGGTAAGTGGCGATGTTGCCAAAGACATTGATAGGATGGAATAGCGCGTTCACTTAGTAGAGATAAGTTCCCCGTGTGCAGGGCCACTAGACAGTTTTCTGAAAATTGTGAAGCTGCCTTATGGGATTGGGGGTCGGGGTAAACCTAGGCAGTCCCAAGACCTGAGAAATGTTTACTTTCCAGGACACGGAATATCTCAGATATCTGAATCCCTGTCTACACTCCTGATGAGCTGTGTGATCTTGAACAAATTTCCATCTGCCCTGCTTATCTTGCACTAAATGGGGTGAACATTAAATATTAAAAGAGCTATGAAATTAAACTAGCAATACAGGAAATATTCGGGTGTCTAGCCCCTGTGCCCCAGAAAGGATAAAGAAGCCAGGTCACTCTTTGGAACCACTTTTTCTGCATGCACTTAAACAGTGAGGAATTGCAACCAAAGTAAAGGTTGTTTTACCAGTTGAACATTGTGGAATAGTCCCTGGTCCCACTGAGGTTTTTTTTTTTTTTTTTTTTTTTTTTTTTTTATGAAAATTGCTTACAGTAAAAAAAAAACAACACAATATAATTCCTTATCCCCTCTTATTTTCAGTATGACAAATAATTATATAAGCAATATAATTCTTAACAACAAAGGAATGCTTAGATATAAATTAACTATGCAATAAAACATAAAATCATGGTTTTCATAATCAATGACATGGGGAAATATGCAGTGTTTTTCAAACTAAGCAAAATAGGTATTTCAGAAAGCAGAAACTGTATGGAACCAGTGTATGTGTGTGTGTGTGTATGTGTGTGTGTGTATTTTGTGGCTATAATAACAAGGATATATTATTTTTTTGCATTTTTTCCAAATGAAACTATAGTACTTATTTATTTGCTTATTGGTACCAGGGATTGAACCCAGGGACACTTAACCACTGAGCCCCAGCTCTTTTTATTTTTTATTTTGAGACAGTGTCTCACAAAGTTTCTAAAGCTGGCTTTGAACTTGTGATCCTCCTGCCTCAGCCTCCTGAGTCGCTGGGATTATAGGTATACGCAACCATGCCCAGCTTCTAGTATTTTTGTAATCAGAAAATATAATTACTGTTTTCTAAAAGGAAAAGGCAATTTTATCTACTTGTCCTGGATATTTTCCCATAAAATTAAGATATAATTTACATACAGTAAAATTCATCCATTTATGTTGCAATGCCAGGAGTTTTAGTAAATGCATATAGTCATTTAACCACAACTACAATCCAGTCCTAGGACATTTCCATCATTCCCCTTAATTTCCTCATTCTTGGTTAACAAATTAGCTTATTTTTGTCCCTAGAGAAATGGCTTTTCCAGAATGTCATATAAATTCCATACAAACAGAATCACAAAATATGTCACATTTTAAGTCTGGCTTCTTTTGCTTAGCATAATACATTTGGAATTCATCCATGTTTTTGCATGTATCAGTAGTTTATTTCTTCTTTTTTGATGAGTGGTATTTCATTGTATGGATATACCACAATTTATTTATCCACTCTCTGTTTAAAAATATTTGGGTTGTCTCCAGTTTAGTGCAATTATGAATAAAGCTAATATAAACATTTATGTGGAGATTTTTTGTGTAAACATATGCTTTCATTTCACTTGGGTATGTACCTAGAAGTGGGATTGCTAGATTGCATGGTATGTCCACTCTATAAGAAAGTAGTAAACTAATTTCCAAATTGGCTGTATTATTTTCACATTCCTGCCAGCAATGTTTAAGAGTTTCAGTTGTTCCTAGAGCTTATTTTTAATTATTACCATAACAACTAACATTTCCTATCCCTTACCATGTACCAAGCACCATGCTAAGCATATTACCTGAATTGTCTTTTTTAGTCCCCACCACAATTCTGAGATTAGTAGTTATGATTATCTTGATTTAACAGATGAGGAAATGGAGATCTGCTTAAAACATACAACCCAACAAACAAAAACTTGCCCAAAGTCCTATAGCTAAGTCCTTCTTTCTTTCATTCATTCAATAAACTTATTGAATACCTGTTCCTCTTAGTGACAGGCACTAGACTGGGTGCTTGGAATTCAGCAATGAATAAAATAGACCAAGTGCTGCCTCAACAAGCTATTTTCATGTCAGGAAAGGGTATTCATACAAATAAATATGTAATAGTGAGAGGTCCAATGAAAGACAAGTAAAGTATACGGTGAGTGACTATTGAGGAGTGTTGGATTTGAAAGTCAGAGAAGGCTTCTTTGAGGAAAGGATTTTTAAGCTGAAGCAAGGGTGAGGAAAAAGGCTAAGAGATGACAAATAGTATGACAGGGCTTTGAAACCAAGGGAAGGGTGGTACACAAGGAAGCCAGAGAAATAGGTAGTGCCAGATAGCGGAAAGTCAGGTTAAAGAACGGAAAGCTTTTGAAGGATTATAAGCAGAGGAGTGTTGTGGCTGTTTGCCATGCCTGTCATCAGCCAGGGTTCCTCCATTTTTGTATCTCCATTTCTGAGCTGCCTGAATTGTGCTGGAGAATCTAAAACCAGGTGACTGTGTCCAGTACAAATTCATGCTTTGATTTCCGCTGACTGTCCTTTTATGTATCCCTTGTCAGCTGTCAGTTGCATTCCCACTATGACCCCAAACTCCCCAAAGCTCCCAATTCCATTATATTCCTTCCATTTGCAGAAACACTAATAATGAGAATATAAATTCAAATTTAAGAGATATACACAATACAAAAGTGTAGATAATTAAAAGAATAGAGGTGGAGGTGAACACTAGGTTTTTAAAAAATCACATTAGGAGAAGTAATATAGACAAGATTGAATATGATAAACCAAAGAGGGAAATACCTTTAACATGAGAAAACCTGGAAAAACATGTTAAATACTTTGTGGGGGAGGGTAGTGGGGATTGAACCCAGGGGCTTTACCAATAAGCTACATCTCCAGCCCTTTTTATTTTTTATTTTGAGACATAGTCTCCACTAAATTGCTCAGGGCCTCACTGAGTTGCTGAGGCTGGCCTCGAACTTGCAATCCTCCTGACTCAGGCTCCTGAGTTGCTGGAACTTCAGGCATGCACTGGTTGTTATATACTTTTAAGGTAAATAAAATTTGGAAGTTTATGGATATGAGAAATTCAGGTATGAAAATCAGGAACATGTGATCTTCTCATAAATGAGCCAGGTTTTGTTTTTTTAAGAATTTTCTAGCTGGGGCTGGGGTTGTAGCTCAGTGGTAGAGTACTTGCCTTGTACATGTAAGGCCCTGGGTTCAATCCTCAGCACCACATAAAAATAAACAAATAAAAATAAAGATATTGTGTCCATCTACAACCAAAAAAAAAATTAAAAAAAAAAAAAAGAATTTTCTAGCTGAATGTGTGGTGCTGCCTGTAATCCCAATTACTTGGGAGGCCAAGGCAGGAGGCAAATTTGAGGCCAAACTCAGCAATTTAGTGAGACCCTCAGCAACTTAATAAGACCATTTCAAAATTAAAATTAAAAAGGACTGGGGATGTAGCTCAGTGGTAAAGCACCACTTAGTTCAGTCCCCAGTATCCGCCCCCCCCTCCAAAAAAAGGAATTTCCTGTTGTGCTGTGGAATGTCATACTTTGATGACAAAGGATTATAGAAAACATTTTCTACCTTGAAATCTCACCACATAAGGCATAAATTCCATCTCTAATACTTTAAAACAAAGCAAAATCAATCCTGGAGACCACACCTTTTAATAGGCAATGGCAGAGGATAAATTGGAAAAGGAGGAATCCAGCAGGCTCTGAGGGAGTTGTGTGGTACATCTCTGAGGAAACATCAGAGTGACATGGGACAATAACAGAGATTCCCAAATGAGGAAATCTCATTTCTTGTGGTTAAAAAAAATAAAATTAAAATTAAAAAGAAAGAATTGCTTTAAGGATACAGGATGGAAATATAAAGTAATTTAAAAACAGTCTTTGTTAATGAAATCCACTGAGATTTCTAAATTTCATGTGCCTCTGTCAATTTAGTGTTTCTAACTATTATAAGGAGTCTCAAATATCCTGTTATATTTGTGACCTATTTTACTGTTTTTGAAGTAGCTGCATTCAGCTGCATAAGGCCCTGTGTTTTATAGCCAACACTGTAAAATACATACGCACATATTCCAATCTGTCAGAATTACCTGGTCTATACCCACTAAATGCCAGTAGATAGCACCTTCTCCCAACACTGGTATTACCAAAAATACACGAATTTCCAAAATGCCCCCTAAGGCTCTCAAACACAATCACGTTTAGATCCTATTGTTAGTATAGGTGACAAAAACTCCCAGACTGTCTTATAGTGGGAAAATATACTGTAGTGTAAATTCCACACAAAATCTTGCTCACGGTGTTTTTTTTTTTTTTTTTTTTTGTGCTTCTGTATGGACTGTTTTTAGTAAATGACTCTTCATGATGACTGGTTCTTTTTGTTGTTCTTTATTCCTGAATTTCCTGAACACTGGCATTTGTTTTGATTGACTTTGAGATGGTTCTGAATGTTTTCTGTATCCTAGGCACCAGTTTTGTTTTGATTGGTACTCTGGTTCTCTGTGCATGCCCATTCTTGCTAAGCAGATCATAA